TGGGGAGCATGTGGGATGGACTATGCATGAGGCCTGTATGGACAGAGATGCTGCTGTGTCCCCTGCTGCCCTCTGGGAATTATTTTTTCATTGTTGAAAATGAACACAAAGAGCTCAGTCTCCAGTAAGTGAACAAGAAGGTGAATTACTTCTCACCACCCCAGGACCCTCCCAGCCTGCCTGGGGACTCTTCCACTGATTTCCATCACCACAGATTTGTTTTGCCTGTTCTTTGTATCTAGAATTCTGCATGGACTGTGTGTGTGTGTGTGTGTGTGTGTCTGGTTCCTGCTCTCCTGTCCAAATTTCCAAGGATGATGTTTGAATCCTCCTTTCTCTCCCTCAGTGTCCACCCTGAACTGGCCACCAGGGGGCAGCAGAGCCTCATGGACCCTGGGGACAAGCCTGGTGGCCTTTCTATGGCCCCTGGGCTGCTCCCCCACCAAGTAGCTCCCCTTTCTGGTGCCCCCAGGCAGGAGCTGCAGGATGGCCCTGCTTCCCTCTGGGAACCCTGCTGCTTCACAGACCCTCAGGGCTGGGGGTTTGGAGCTGTGATCTTAAATTTTTTTTAAAGGTTTATTTATGCATACAAGGACTGGGATACAGGCCAGAGATGCAGGGGGATGTGAGAGGATTCACCAGAGACATAGTGGGGTGGAGAACAGGCAGATTGACTGAAATACACTGCTGAGGGGAGCTGCAGGCAAGATAGGAGAGGTCTGCTGTGCCATGTGGGTAGCTCCCTGGGTGATGGAACTCGTGCCACAGTGGCTGGTAATAGTTTGATAGGACTGAGGCTTTAATCCTTGGGCCACCAGGGAGAACAAGGATACCCATTATCCCTATTTTGCTTTTACACATGGTATTTGATAGTTCATGAAGTGTTACTTCATTTTTTGTTTTAGTATTTTGTGTGTGTGTGTGTGTGTGTGTGTGTGTGTGTGTGTGTGTAGAAGAACTGGAGTGTAGGCAGAGGTGTGGGGGAAGTGAGAGGATTCACCAAAAACAGAGTGGGGGAAGAACAGGTGGATTTACTGAAACACACTGCTGAGGGCTGCAGATGATGAGACAAGAGAGGTCTGCTGCTCCACATGTGGGTCAGCTTTCTGACCAGGGATTGAACTCAGGTCATAGCAGTGACATCACTGAGACTTAACCCCTGGACTGGTCACCAGGGAGTTTCCTTCATTGTTTCTTTGTAAAATCATATCTCAAGTTGAGTGATTCACTCTTCCATTTTGATTCTACTATAAATTTCCATAGTAATTTTCATTTTCATTTTAATCTTTTTTCTTCCAATTCCTTTATTTTCTTCTTTAAAGCATGATTTTCAATCTTGTGTTTATTGCTTTTGTTTTTCAGTGTATTCATGTTTTCCTGATTTTTCTTGAATATCCTTGTTCTGCTTTTCTGTATCTTCTCTGAGTTCTTAAAATTTCTTTATGATGGCACACTTGAATTCTGTATGTGACAGGAACATCTTCCATTTATTTTCCATTGATTTCTAGAAATATGTTCTCTTGCTATGGTGTAATATTGACTTTCAGACTCCTTTGACCTTTTGCTGTTATTCCACCTCTCCATTGCTTTCCAGACCATACTACTGTCAGTGTTATTTTTGTTAGGTGTAGCTACACCCCTGCCACTCTGGGCTGGGGTGTTCCACAGAGGTGGCTGGGGTAGCTGCTATTGAGTAGGACCCAGTGCAGCCCGGACTGGGACCTACACTGGTTCTGAAGAGCTGGTGGTTAGACCTGGGTTCAGCAGTGCTTCCTGGAAGGTGCCTGAGAGTCACAACTGTGGCATGGGGCTCTGTGTGGCCAGGTACGGGATGAGGGCCATCTCCCAATGTGCTGCTGGATGAGTCCCGGTCAGGGTGACTTCCTGGGGGGCGGTGATTGTAGGTGATAATGGGTAGATACCTGCACAACCAGAAATGTATAGTATAATTTATAAAATTTTCTGCAAGAATATCTTTTCCCTGTGTCTCACTCCTTTCCCTTTATATATCTCTGGGCCTATGTGGAGTGATGCCTCCTCACGTCCTTTGGAATTTCAGACAACAACAGAGTAGATGCCCATTCAGAGGTGGTATGGCAGGTGCCTCAGGCCAAGAGGGCTCTTCATAGGACAGAGGGTAGCCCTGGACAGATACTAGCACTAAGAGTGAATGAGGGTCTTTGGAAGCACCCAAGTAACCTTAGCTGGCTGTTTCAGATGGGATGACAGCCCGGGGTAGATGTGTAGGCACAAGGAGGGTGATACCCACACTGTTCCAAGGCAGAGCTCAGGCCCCCAGTCAGGGTCATGCTGGGTAGGGAAAGGAGGAAAGTTTATTTATTTTTAAATATGTATTTATTTATGCATACAAGAGCTGGGGTAAAGGCCAGAGGTGTGGGGGGTGAGAGGACTCACCAGAGATAGAGTGGGGAACAGAACTGGCAAATTGACTGAAATACACTGCTGAGGGGAGCAGCGGGCGAGTCAGGAAAGGTCTGCTGCACCATGTGGATATTCCCTGGCTGGGGATTGAACTTGTGCTGCAGTGGCTGAAGATAGCTTCATAGGTTGCATCTTAACCCCTCCCGCCACCAGGGAGGCCCAAGGAGGGAAGTTGAAAGTAGAAATTATAGCCATCACTCTATGAGTGTGTGTTTCTTTTACTTTCCAGTTCCTTCTGGGAAACACCCTACTCCATCCAACCTGAAACTAAGAAGTCTGAAGAAATGACTGTAAACTTTTTGTTGCAAGAGAAAATAACCCTGTGAACCTTTAATTTTAACAATGTCCAGAGAAATTAAGCTTTAATGTTAAAGAAAAGGGGTTTAGTCCTTCCAACCAAAAGCTGATTTTAAAATCATAATTCTTTAAACTTTTGCCAATGTCTTTTGGCTAATTTAGGTATTTACCAGAGAGTACTTCAAAGCACTTGGAACAGTTACAAGATCAGTGGAATCATATGTCTCTTAAAAGAGTAAATTATTAACCCATCAGCCACTGGACAATTTATATTCGAGCAAGACAGTTCAGTGAGTTACCCCCAGTGACTTTTGACAAAGCAGCAGGAACAGGCCCTGAGCAGCTGGAGAGGCAGTGAGTGGGGTGAGTGTCCTTCCTGCAGGGTGTTCAGTGTCCCCCAGTGTTGTGCAGGAACACCTGCCCAGTGCTCTATCCCTCCTCCCTTCCCTCTCCACATTGACCCAAGGGCAACATTGGGGGCAGATATTTCTGGGTGTGTCCTCTTGGGGCAGTTCAGAGTCCAAGGTCCCTTCCTGCTCCCTCCCCCTGAGGGGTGTGGAGCTGGGGACTGGGCTGCTGAGAGCTGAGGTGGGGGCAGGGCAACCCCTCCCCCAGGAAGGTCCTGGATCATGTCACTACACAGAGGGCAGGACTCTGGTGCCTTCATCTCTGTCTGCAGGTGTGAGAATCAGGGGCCACAGACACCACCTGTGCAGCCCAGCTCCTGCACTTAGGTGCTCAGTACAGTGGTTTTTTTCCCCTCTGTTTCTTCATCAAATACTCTTCTAGCCTTTAGGCCTTGAGAATTGTCCCTACTGGACAGTGATTGGTGATGTTTGAGGAGTAAATATGGAAGAGAGAATTACTCCTTGTCTCTTTATTTATTTTCAAATTAAGTTGGAGATTCCAAGATGGACTCTAAGTTGAGATGATCATAAATGAAATTTTAAGGATGGCAAAGTGAGATGTTTCAAGAATATACAGAAATTTTGAGTTTTAATAGACCAGACTTCAGGCAGAAACCAAGCATTTCTGTGCATCAGGGTCAGTCAGTCTGGCTCCATGAAGACAGACACGGGAGGCCCCTCAGGACAGGGAGAGTGAGCCTGGGCAAGATAGTCCTGCTGGTGTGAGGCCGTGACTCTGTGAGGAGTTGGGTCCCTGGTGGGTAGAACTTGCTGTGAAGTCCACACCCTGGCAGGAGTGCGGTGAGGGTCTCAGTCACCAGGTAGTGACTCTGGGGACTGAGCCCTGGGAGAGTCTGGGGGACAGACACAGGTACTGCCCTGAATGATTCCAACTCAGTGAGATGTGATCCCCCCATTTATATTTTGGGGGATAGAATAGCAGACAGGGGAGCATGGTGAACACTGTGTCTATCAGAGGCTGGTGCTCAGGTCAGAGGTGACGTCTCGTGTTCTCAATGGACCGAGGAGTTTTCTGAGTGGACCAGGCCGAGGGACAGCAACAGCAGTGTTTCCTTTGCAGACAAGCTTAGCTGAGGCTGGTGAGGCCCCTCCCTGCTGGACATGGAGCAGGACTCACAGGGCCTCCTCTCGGGATCCCACATGGTTCCCAGATGACACATGTCAGGGCTGGGGTGGAGGACAGGATCCCCAAGCCCAATAAGCAGGTGTGAGGTGCACAAGTGGGATCACGAGGTTGGCAGAGACCCCTGTGAGCAGGTCACTTCAGATGTGGCCTGAAAGGTGCAGTTTGGGGAGCAGAGGCAGCAGGAGCATCAGGGACTGTGAGGAGGCCTGAGGCTGGGAGAGCTCTCTGAATTGGAGTCATCTGAGCCAGAGGGGGCCCCTGGGAGAGCAATGGGAGGGGGATGAGAAAGGGAGGGGGAGGCCTGGGATCCCCTCCTTTAAGCAGAGGGATCCCCTGAAGGGATGAGACAGGGAGTTGACTTGAGCTGACTGGAGAGGGTCATGGTCTTGTAGGGAAATGGACTCCTGGAAGTGAGGTTGGAGGTGGGGTGGGGCGACCCTTGGGCCAGGTGAGAAATGAGGGTGATGTGGAATAGGTGCTGTCATGGACATGGATTGAACATTTGGTACATTGGCAGTAGACTGGGTGGGGAGTGGACTGTGAAGATGACCCTGGAGGTTCTGGCAGAGATAACTGGGGGGACACAGGTGCCCTTCACTGAGAAGGGAAACTACAGAATGTGAAGGAGGAGGGGAGGCCCAGGCTCCCTGGTTTCCTTGGAGACATAGAATTGGTCCTTCCTGGTGACCCTGTGTCCTCATGGGACAGTGACTGGTCACTGTGACCAGGTCTTGGGTGACATTAACATCTGAACAAGCCACAGGCCCCGTCCACGCAATGTGGGCAGGACCATGTCCTGGCAGCTCCTGGTGCCCAGTGCTGATTCCTGGTGTCCAGGGTGTGGGGGCTCCTCAGCTACTGTGAGGAGAAGAAAACAGGACCCCTGGGGGCTCCTCACATGCTCTGCCATGTGGGGTGACAGCTGACCTGGGATCAATGGGGTGGCACAGACTGAGCCCTTCAAGGGGCTCAGAGTCAGTCCTGACTGTGCCCCACACTCACCCTTAGTTCTGGGTATGGGAGCCAAGCAGCCTGGAGCACAGTGGGTGTTCACAGTGGGTGCTGTATGGGCACCTCCCCTGTGCCTGCAGGGGTGTCAGAGTGCCTGTCTCTCCCCTCTGCTGACCCATCTGATATGCTGTTTCCTTCCTGAAACAGGAAGGAAGTGCTCCTTTGGGTGCACTGTCACGAGGGCAGGGTGGAGGCTGCTGGGATTGCATTTCAGCTTTCACTTTCAGATCATGTAGGAGCCAGAGAAGGGTGACTGTGTTTTTGAGAGAAAACTAGGAGGATCCCAGGGATCCCACCCCTGGTGAGACACCCCTCAATGAGTGCTGAATTCTTCCTGTCTACTCTCTTGAGGACCATCTTCTCTGAGCCATGAGACCCCCTTGGCACCCAACAGGGCTCCTGAGCAGCTAACAGCAGGTGCTAACTCTATAAGAAGGTTTGGGGAAACACTGAAACTTCTCAAGTTCGAAAGGACGTCCTAGAAGCCCCACCATTTCAAAGCAGGTATGTCAGTGTTCTGAGCAGAGTGGGTTCGGGGTGTGGGATCCATGGGGTGGGAAGGGAAGGGAGAATGTTTTTCTCCAATAAACCTCATGGTCTCTAGCAGCACAGAGGCTCAGAAGCCCCGAGAGGAGCCAGGTCTGTCCTCCATGGTCTCAGGGCCTAAGGGGTCACCAGGAAGGGTCCTGCTTCTGTTGGTGGGGGTCCCTGTGCCTGCTCTCTCCCCTGAGCCCAGAGCTCCTGGCTGCCCTGCTCCTCTGTGTGGGCCTGGCTGCCTCCTGCCCTGTCTCTCCCCAGCCCTGAGGAGATGGTGCCCTGCTCCTGCCCCAGCTCTGTGCTCTGCCTCCTCCCCTCCCTGCTGCTCCTGTTCCAGCTGCCTCCTGTGGGGTCCCAAGGTGAGTGTGTCCCTCCCTGTCCTGTGTCTCCCTCCGGTGGGTGGGGCCCAGGGGCTCTGGGAGATCCTCCTTCAGGAATTGTCTTTGCTCATTTGTCTTAGCATAATGTCTTCAAGTTCCATCCGTGTTGCTTGAAATGGCATGATTTTACTTATTTAAAATATATATATATCTGTGGGCCTCCTTGGTGATGCAAGGGGTTAAGTCTCACCATTATCAAGCTATCACCAGCCACCACAGCAGGAGTTTGATCCCTGGCCTGGGAGCTGACCCACATCTTGTAGCAGACCTCTCCTGTCTTGCTAGCTGCTCCCCTCAGCAGTCTATTTCTGTCAGTCTGCCTGTTCTGCTCCCCACTTTGTCTCTGGTGAATCCCCTTAACCCCCACACCTCTGGCTTATACCCCAGCTCTTGTATGCATACATTAATAAAAATAAATCTTAAAAAAATCCGAGAACGATTTCATGATGTGTGTGTGTGTGTGTGTGTGTGTATGTAATGTTACTCTATTTCTTTGAATGTACCTCTGTTCCTGTCTCTCTTCAAATTGTGGAATATCCATTATGCTTATGTTTCCTTTCCTCATAGATTGCTTAGTTCTTCCACTTTTTTCTTTATTTTTCTCTTTTTTCTTCCATTTTGGTCCATTGTTCATTTTTACCATCAGGTCACAGATTTGATCTTCCATTTGGTCGATACTGCTCCAATAGCTTCTCCAGGAGTGATCTTTTTACAGCCCCCATCTCTGTGGTTTTAATTTAAGGCTTCTATTTCTATTTTCTCTTCACTCATTTTATTTTCCAGGTCATTCGTTTATTGTTCTGAATTTTGCTATTTGATTCACTTTTCAGTGTTTTCTCCATTTCTTTGACTTTTTTATTACAGCAATTTGAACTCTACTTGATAGTAAGATACGATCTTCCATATCTTTGTAGTTGCATATTGCAGAGTTGGTCTCATCTTGTGATTTCATATTCCCTTGAGATCTCAAGTTTCTTGGACTTATTTTGCTGCTTTGAATTTCCTATTTTTTGAAAAAAAGCATCTGTAGTGGTAACTTAGAGAGTTGAACTACTTTTAACTTTCCATCAGGTGACCTGTTGTGTTTTTAGATTTGTAACTTAGGCAGGACTAGAGACCTGATCCTTGAGATGCTGAGTCAGAGACTGTGGGGCCTGTAGTCATCCAGCCTCTGGTGTGGGTGCTCTGGCTGGGGCATGTGAGCTCATGTTGTGGCCCCCTAACACCCACTTCTCCCAGTTTAGTCCTGAGACTCTGCCCTGTGCTCACTGTCCCTGAGCTTCAGGAGAGCAGGGCTAGTACTGAGGAGGAATGGGGGTGCATCCAGCTCTGTCTCCTTGTTACCTCACTTGGGTACCTTGTTAGCTGGGAGCTTCCAGTAGAGCTGTGAGCCCCTCACTGTCAGCTCTCCCTGCCCAGGGTCACATGCCTGGTTGAGTGACCACCACAGTGTGTGCTGTAGCCTTCACCACCCTGACCACAGACTCCAGGTGTCTTCTCTGCCTAACTCTTGTTCAGTGAAGCATGACTATCCTCTGTGCTCCTTTTGGTGCTGTCTGCCTGGTGACTGCTGTATAAGAGTGTTCCATTTTGTTGCAAGCCTGGTGTTCTCTGGGTGCCCTGTTCACTCATTCACATTGATGATCCTTTGTGCAATGAAACGGATTTCCTCAAATCAAAATGGATTTCCTTTTAGTCCCCCAAGAACTCTTTTGAAATGGACATTCTTGGGTGCATCCCAATCTGCTACATCAGGCCTGGGGTAGGGTCCCTGCATTTTACAATTACAAGCCCTCCTGGAGATTGTGATGCTGAAGGTGAGAATCATGGAGTTAGAGTTTTTTATGGAAGGTCCTGCTATCAGGTACACCAGTGAATGAGGGAACATCTTTGACATAATTTCTGGACCACAGGTTGTGGTTGGAAGATCTTTCCCAGATTCAGAATTGTCACTGTTAATCCTTCATGTCAGCTGTCTGCTCATCAGACAACTTCCCTCAGCCTGCCTGGGCCTCCCCCAGTGATGTTGTGTGTTCCCCGATATGACTGTGTCTCTCAGCCTTTCTACCTCCCATGTCTGTGTTCACAGGGAGTTTCCGTGTTTTTGGTGCCCCAGGCCCCATAGTGGCAGAGCTGGGTGAGGATGTCACACTGCCCTGCTTCCTGTACCCAGTCATGAGTGCAGAGAACATGGAATTGAGGTGGTTCCGGTCACATTTCTTGGAGTCAGTGTTCATCTATCGAGACCAACAGGAACAACATGAGGAGATGATGGCTCAGTATGTAGGGCGGACCTCGCTGGTGGGGAAATTCCTCAGTAAGGGGAAGGCTGCTCTACTCATTCACAGGATTCAGGCTTCTGACAATGGACTGTACAACTGCTTCTTCAGCAATGGATACTTCCATGAGCAAGCCAGCTTGGAACTGCAGGTGGCAGGTTGGTGACATGTTAAATATCTGAGTCCTGGAGTGTAGGAATTGGGGAGAAAATAAGGGCAATGGAATTTAGTTTTTCATTTCATTTATGAGTAAGAAAAGGCTTATTCATTCATGTTTTATGAAATGTAAATATACAGGGTGCCTATTACATGTCTGGCCCTGTTCTAAACTCTTGGATACAAAAGAGAATCTAATAAAGGTCTTCATTCTGTGAGTTTATATTTGTAGTGGGAGAGAAAGAAATCATAATAAATAACGAGGGAATAAATGACATTTTGAAGTGAAGTGATGAGGACAGGAAGTTAAATGGAGCAGGGAGATGGGTCAGCAATGTGGGGCTGGGGTTGAGGGGACATTCTAGTAATAAATAATAGCTCAGGCTGGTGCGAGGGGAGCAAAGACTGCAGGGAAGTGGGAATACAGCTGAGTAAATATCTGATGTGTGGCTGTCCCTTCCTCCCCAGTTTTATAGACAGATAATTACTATGTGTCATATGTAATGTGAGGCATACTGCATAATGACTGATTTATATATACAGTGAAGTGATGGCCACAATAGGTTAAATCACATCTGTCTGCTATTAGATGTTTAATAAAAAGAAAAAAAAAAAGAAGCAAAAAAAGGAAAATTTCCTCATTGAGAAAAAAAAAATCATTGGAGTTTGTCCTTTAACAACTTCCCCACACGTCACACAGCAATGTTGGCTACAGGCATGCTGTATGTTACAGGGAAGGGAATTTCTACGTGGAGGCATAGCCTGTGTGAATGACCTGGGGGGAGCGTGTGTTTGGTGTGTGATCTGCTCACATGGAGTCCTCATGGCTGGTGGGGGAGAGTGAGGGGCAGGGTGTTGTGAGGTGACGATACGGTCATATAAAATGTTGTGAGTTCATGGTGGAGAGGTGGAGAGTGGCTGATGAATGCTACCAGAGGTAATCAGAAAAACCTCCATGTGATGTAGGTATTTGAGCTGGGACGTCATTTTATCTAACAGGGTCTATAAAGCCCCTCAGACCAGATGCAGAAAGGATGATGGAGTCCACAGAGCCTGGTGATTGTGGACAACAGCTGTTAGATTCTTTAGTTTGGGGGGCTGGGCCTAGAGGGCACAGGTGTAAAAGTGTGAGCACTGCAGAGAGAAGAGGCTGGGGAGGAGTAGCAGATGAGGAGTCCTGGTGTGCATGTGTGGTGTGTGCATGTGGGGCTGTTGGGGATTTTCAGCACAGCAGCGCTTAGCATGTGACTCTGGCAGTCATGGGGAGGACAAGGGCGGGGACAGTATCTGGAGTTGTGGCTGCAGTTACGGGCTGGAGAGGGGGGCTGGTTCACACAGTGCTGGTGGGTGCATCGGAGATGCCATCAGGGAGGTTTTGAAATAACCCAATTGAATGAGGAGAATTGGGTCACAGAATTTAAAGTGGAAGAAGGGATTGCAGAGGCTTCTGAGGCTTTGTAAAGTCTGTGTGATATTTAATGTCAGGAACATTCATAATGTGTATCAGTTGCCTGTTACCATAGTGCTGCTGTGTAATGAAGAACCACAGATAACATCTCACAGTGGCCTGTAGTAATGGACTTGTATTCACATGGGCTGTGAGGACTTCAGCTAACCTGGCATGGACTTAACTACTCGCCACTGAACTTCCTCCTACATTGTTTGGTCAGATGAAAATGTCACCACATGGACTTTGGCTGGGCTTGTTACATGAATGGTAATGGGCTCCTGGCTGAGGGAGAACAGCTTCAGGGGGAAAGGCTGGTGACAGGCCCTGCTCCTCCTGAACTACAATGTCCTTCCATGAAGGTCGCAGAGGGAAGACCCCTGGGGCAGCATTTTAAACCTCTGCTGAGTCACATGAGCTGATCTCTCATTAGTCACATGAAGTCACATGACTGATCCCAGAGTCAGAGTGTGAGTAAAATGTACATGGCAAAGTGTTAGCCATTAAGAACATTTTTATTACTAATTTACCTCAGATGAGACAACAGCATGAGTTCAGATGTAGAATTTTGGGTGTGAAGAGCATGTGAGGAATCCTGGCAGATGTACCCCACAGGGATGGGGCTATCAGGGAGGGAGGGAGGTGGGGAGACTGGTGAGGTGATATTTGGAAGTGATGTATGAGGAGACACAGGAGCTGAGGGAGAAGAAGCTCTGGGAGAGGCTGTGAGATAAGACGGGGCTTTAAGGACTGGGCCCTGGGACTGCGCTGCCTTCAAGGAGCAGGTGCAGGGAGAAAAGTCCGGAAAGGGGCTCAGCGGGGGGTCCAAGTTACAACAAGGCACCCTAAGAGGGAAGTGACCAACCCAAGATGGAGGTGGTTTCAAGGTGAGGTCAGGAGTGTCCTGACTGAAGGGAGACTGGGTGAGAGCACGGTGGAGACAGGGGTTGACAAATGGGAGACTTTTGTTGAATCACCCAGAGCAGAATGGACTAGAAGAAGATGCTGCCAAATGGAGGCTGAGAGGTTGGTGAGAAATGAGAAAATACAGCTGTTTATGGATTATAAGATGTGCTCTTCTAGCAAGAAAAGAATTCTACAAAGATTTGAACATGTTCATATAAATATAAAAATAATAGGTAGGAAAGTAGAGATGAACATGTTAGGTCATCATCTTGTTCCTCCATGGATGGTCTCCCCTATACCCCCTAAAATGAACCTCCCCCTGACTCCCCTGGAGGTGTGCACAGGTGGGCCCTGCCCCACCTGGCTGTCATCTTCCCTCCGCAGGTGTGGGCTCTGCCCCCCATGTGCACATCACGGGGCCAGAGGAGGACGGGGTACGCATGGTGTGTATGACCTCAGGCTGGTTCCCAGAACCCCAGGTGCAGTGGAGACACCCCCATGGGGTGCAGTTCCTGGAGTTCTCAAAGATCCAGTCCCAGGACACTGAGGGTCTGTTCAGCGTGGAGGCCTCTCTGGTAGTGAGAGACAGCTCTGTGGGGAGCGTGACCTGTTCCATCCTCAACCCCGTCCTGGGCCAGGAGAAGTCCATGGCCATTGTCATCCCAGGTCAGCACTGCTCCCCACTCCCTGCAGGGTCAGAGGGAGGGGCTAGCATCCCCAGGGGTGCCAGTTGGGCTGGGAGTCCTAGGCTGTGTCCTGATGGGGTCTCTGTGGGGTCTCTGTCTGCAGAGCCCTTCTTCCCCCGGGCCTCTCCCTGGAAGCCGGCTTTCCTGGTGAGCCTGCCCTTGCTGCTGCTCCTGCTCCTTGGAGCTGCCTGCTACACCCGGAGAGAACATTCCACACTGATGCGGGAGCTGCAGGAACAGAGGAATCTTCGTCCGGCTAAGGAGGAGCACCTACAGACAAAGGTGGAGGTCCTGAAGGACATAGGTAAGGCAGAACAGGGGCCAGGCTGGTGAGTGTGGCAGTGGGTGCTGAGAGGGACCAGCTGATGCCAGAGTTGGAGTCCAGAGTCCCTCTGCAGTGAGATCAGAGCAGGTGCTGAGTCCCAGAGGGGACAGTGGAGCTTGGGGGCTCATGTTGGTCTGATGGTGGAACTTCTAGACACAGAGAGATTCATTTTTGTGTCTTCTCTGGACACAAGCTTTGTTCTTAGGGACAGTTTGTGCTTATATTTTTCATTCTCTTTCAGATGAACTCCAGGCCATTCTAGGTAAGCTCTGCTCTCCCTCCTGAACTCTCCGTGCCCCCTTCATAGGAGACATTCTGGTTCTTAGCTCACCTGTGTCCTGTGTTGTCTTTCAGACCAGAGGAAGGCAGCTTACCTGGCTGGTGAGTGATGCTCCAGGTCTCCTGGGTCCCTGTCCCCTGTGCTCAGGGGTCCCTCCCCTTGGCTGTCTAAGCACAGAAATGTGGACCCTTCCCTGGGGTGGAAGTGGGAGCTGGTAGGACACAGGACCCTGCTCCACGGGTTCTCCAGATCTGGGTGCTGTTTCCCCCTATTGTTGGGATCCTGGTTGGTGGTGACCCTTGGAGTCTCCTGCATCCTGGTCTCATTCCATCCCTGAGCCACCATGGTGCTGGCTTTCTAGTCCTCAATGCATCTTGTTCTTGGTCAGCACCCTGATTAAAGCCAGCTGCTCTGGGATTTTATAAGTAAATGGACTCTTGAAGTTTAGGAGTGTGACCTCCTCCTGTCCTCTCTCCCCAAACAACCCCAAGAAAATTCTGTTCTCTCTACTCCTGAAGATGCTGATCAGTAGTGGTGGGAGAGGACGGGGTGACCTTGCATGGGAGGGAGTGGGGGTACTTTCCTCTCCCACAGAGTGTTTAGCACTAGAAATGCTACATTGGAGGAAGATGGGCCATTTCTACTCTGTAGCAGGTGTGATGCCCAAGGTGTGTTTTTATTTCATCTTCCCATTAATTTCCTAGGAAATACTGAATGTAATAATTATGGAATAATATGTATGTTAAAAAATATCTTCCCATATTCTGTTTTTGATCCTATGTAGCAACACTGAGTAGCAAGTGAAGCACGACCTTTGAAGTCTTTGAAGCCCAGAGCCACTCAGTGACTTACCCAAAGCCCCACAGCAGCAGCAGGCAGGGCTGGGTCAGTCTGTCCTACAGGCTCCTGACCTGAGCCAGGGGATTCCCCACCATCCCCTGCTGTCCGCACAGGGCAGGAGGTCATGACCTCTCAGCCTCTCCCCTTCACCCCCTAGAGAGTCTCACCTGCAGAACAGGGGATGGTCAGGGTCCCTGGATCACAAGAGCAGCTGGTTGTGCTGAGGTCTCACCTGTGTGTTCCCTTTCAGCCTGGAGGAAGGCCCAGCTGTATGCAGGTGAGTGGCCCTGAGGGTCCTGAGACACCCTCCTACCCTTCCCTCTGCCCCTTCTCCATCAGGGACCCCCACCAGGAAGGAGCTGGTGTCCCTGGTCTCCTCTCACTCTGGAACCTCCATCCGAGAACTGCAGGGCCCCCCTTGTAAGCACAGACCTGCCTCCACCTGTCCTGTCCTCCCTGCAGGTCATCTGACCCCTTCTGACCCCTTATCACCTGGTCCTTTCTTGTGGGTGAGGACAGTGGGTGTCAGTGTGAGGAGAGGTTGCAGCAGAGAAAAGTGTGGGTCAGGATTTACTGATCTCTCGAAAATTCCAGATTCCTATTTCCTGCTTCGGAGTCAGGTCTTGCTAATGGGCCCTGGGTTATGGATCCTTCTGGATCCAAAATCCCTGTCCTATTTTGGATCTAGTTTTTGTTTTCTGTTTCCTCTTGATTCTCTGTCTTCTTTTTTAAAAATTATTTTATTGATTTTTTTTAAGATTTGTTTTATTATATTTATACAAGAGCTGGGGTACAGGCCAGAGGCAAGGGTGGGCGAGAGGATTCACCAGAGACAGAGTGGGGAGCAGAACAGGTAGATGGACTGAAAACACTGCTGAGGGGAACAGCGGAGGAGACAGGAGAGGTCTGCTGTGCCATGTAGGATTCTCCCTGGCTGGCCAGGGGATTGAACTCATGTAGCCGAGGCTGTGGACTGCTTCATAGGTTGTGTCTTAAACCACTGCACCACCAGGGATGCCTGGAGTTTTTTTTTTAATCCACTTGAGTGTACTGCTCAGCCAGCTGTGCCACCAGGAAGGCCTGATTCTCTGTCTTCTCGTGCATGCTCTGATTCATGTCCAAGCTGGATTTTCTTCTATCCCTTATAGTTGTTGAGGAATCAGTTGTTTAGAACAGGTGTCTGAGTCTGGGTCAGAGCTTCTGGGGTGTTTATGACTCCTGGGCGGGGGCCTGTGAAAGATCTGAAATTACATGTAATATCCTGTTTGTGTGTGTGTGTGTGTGTGTGTATTTTTTTGTGTCTTTGTAACAAGATAAACAATGTATGATTTTTCTCCATCATCTTTTTTTTTTTTTTTTTAATAGAGGCATGCTTTATTTATTTGTTTGCTGGTTTGTTTTGTTTGTTTTGCTTATACAAGCACTGGGTACAGTCAGAAGTGCGGGAGGGTGAGAGAATTCACCAGAGCCAGAGCGGGGAGCAGAGCAGGCAGAAGGACCGAAGTACACTGCTGAGGGGAGCAGCGGGCGGCAGGAGAGGTCTGCGCGCCATGTGGGACCCTCCTCCGGTGGCCGGGGAGCAGCCGGGGATCGAACCGGCGCTGCAGAGGCTGCGGGCAGCTTCGCAACCCCGCACTCAACCGCTGCACCACCGGGGAGGCCCTCTCCATTATCTTTTTAAGGAGAATTCTTTTTTTTTTTTTTTAATAGAGGCATGTTTTTTATTTATTTGTTTGTTTGTTTGTTTGTTTGTTTTTGTTTATACACGCACTGGGTACAGTCAGAAGCGCGGGAGGGTGAGAGAATTCACCAGAGCCAGAGCGGGGAGCAGAGCAGGCAGAAGGACCGAAGCACACTGCTGAGGGGAGCAGCGGGCGGCAGGAGAGGTCTGCGCGCCATGTGGGACCCTCCTCTGGTGGCCGGGGAGCAGCCGGGGATCGAACCAGCGCTGCAGAGGCTGTGGGCAGCTTCGCAACCCAGTGCTCAACCGCTGCGCCACCGGGGAGGCCCATGTTTTTTGTTTTTTCAGAGGCAACTCTGTAAACTGGAAAAGAACAAACCTAAAATAGTTATAATCCTTTTCCAAAGAATTGGGAGGCAATTTGAAGAAAAGTCTGGATGGAGAGAGAGAGGGGAAGGAAGGAGAGGGGTGTGTGGGAGAAGAGCCTTCTAGAGGTTTTGGGCACAGTCACCAGTTTGAATCTGTGCTGTGCAGACACTGTGCAAGGCTTGGGAGTGAAACACAAAAGGCTTGGGCCTTTTGAAGTACGTCAGATAAAGTCACACTTTAAAAACCATTATTGAGGTGACCATCTAATTGAGCTGCCTCTCACATGAGCTCCCCTTAACCCCAGGCAGGGTCTGCACAGGGTCATGCAGGGAATGTCAGAGATGCTGGTGAAGGGAGATCTGCTCAGGGGTTTGTTTATGGTCCTGGACACAAACCCTGGAGAGGGGGGTTCTGGAGGAGGGGTCTGGGGACCAGGAGTGTGAGGACCCTCCTGAGAGTCTCCGTGGTTCCCCTGGGGCTCATTTCCACACAGTGAGGATCACAGAGTTGTCTTTACCATCATTCCAGCCTCTGCTGAGTTCATGTCTCATGCATTTTAACATAAATTTTCCTTTGGCATGCAAAAAGAATGATGTGTTTGAATGAAACACCATGAACACAGTAGAATCAGCATTTTGATACTGACAGAGTCACAGATGGATACATGTGTGATCTCGTATTATTTGTAAAATTTAACAAAATTTTTTTACTTAAAGTTTTGCTACAAAAATTAACTGACTTGCTCAGTGCATACACAGTCCTGGGCACGCTGTGTCTCACATTAAATGCCACTTCGATTTTCTGTTATTGTTCCTACTGCTCCTGTTCCTGTTCTCCTCCACGCCCTCTTTTTTATTGTTGTATAAAAAAGCATGGTGTAAAGCATTAGAACTGGAGGTCAACTAATAAGTAAGTAAATGTAGGGGCCTCCCTGGTGGCTCAAGGGGTTAAGACACAAGTTGTGTCTATGAAGCTAACCGCAGCCACTGCAACACGAGTTTGATCCCTGGCCAAGGAGCAACCCACATGGCCCAGCAGACCTCTCCTGTCTCGCCCGCTGGTCCCCTTAGCAGTGTATTTCAGTCAATCTGACTGTTCTGTTCCCCACTCTGTCTCTGATGAGTCCTTTCACCCCACACACACCTCTGGCCTATATCCCCATTCTTGTATGCATAAATAAATAAATCTTTACAAAAACAAGTAAATTTAAAATCTCCCTTTTTTAGAAGAGGTCACACATCTGCCACCCAATCATTGCATGTGATCTTCTTTCTTATCAAGCAAAGATGGAAATGCCAGTTTCTCAGAGTGAGCTTGTGCAAGTGTGGCTGGTGTCACACATTTATACACCATGTGCACAAGATGTTGTTCCTTATTCCTATAGATGTGGATCCTGGATTCCCCTCTCTCCCCTTCTCCCCCTCACACAGTTGAGAAAGTCACACTCTCCCTGACGGCCTCAGAGTCTTGCTGTGTCTGATCTGAGTGTTGGGGAATGACCAGGCAGGTGTGGGCTGGGGTATGACATGGCCTTGGGCGTTGGGGGAGAAGGGCCTGTGCTCCCCTTTCAGTCATTTCAGGGACTCCCCTGGGGCCATGGGTCTATGATCCTGTGTGGCACATGCTGAGGGGGCAGGGCACACCCCTTCTGGTCATTAGGGCTTGTGGGTGACCCTCCCTCCACAGCAGAGTCAGGGTCTGGGTCTGTCTCTGGTCAGCAAATTGATGAACCTTCTGGCTCCTTCCTCCTGTCCCACGTCCTTGTCCTCCTCTCCTCAACCATCCATCCCTCCCTCCCTCCCTATTCTCCAGACCCCTCTCTCTCCCTCCATCTCCCCCCAGAGCAGGTGACAATTTGGGGTCCTTCCACGTGCATCATGGGGTCCTGGTGCTCCCTCCATACCTTCCCCTGCCAGGCTCTGCTCACCTTCCTGGGCCCCCACATGGGGCATCAGAGTTCCAGCTGCTGCTGACACATGTCACCACACCCTGAGCAGCGTTAAACACACAGTTTATCATCTCACACGCCTGCGGGGAAGACACCTGAGACCACGTCCTGGGACTAACTCCAGCGTCTGGCAGCTCCTTCCTTCTAGGCTCTCCTTCCTCGAGCAGGATCTAGGGCCCCTTGCATTGACTGGGGACCCCATCCTCTGTCTACACATCCTGCCATGTAGCCTCTTTATGGCCCTGCTGCCATCACCATGTGACTGTCTCTGAGCACAGGTGCAGGGTCATGGCTGTTAAGGCTCACGTGATTGGTTCCTCCTGATGATCCACAATAACATCCCTGTTTCTGGGAACAGGGATCCCATCTTTGTCCCACCTGCAGGTTTCTCTTTCCTCTGTCAAGGACACATGTTTACAGGTTCCTGGGCTGAGGACATGGACACTTTTGAAGTCATTATTCTGCCTCTAGAGAGAGATTTTACTTTGAAGCTTCCATCTTTCTGGGCTCTTCTTGAAGGAAACAGTTGTGTCAATCCAATGTGTGTGTGTTCTTCTCTGTCTACAGGGATACTTTTTTTTCCACCACACATGAAAATGTGGAAAGTTGTCATTAGTGTTTGATCCTCTCAGTGTGTGTCCATGTCCCCTACTCTGCACATCTCTCTCCTCCTAGAACCCTCTCCACCCCTCCTGAGTGGGCAGGACCCTCTGCTGAGTGTCGTGAGTCTCCTCACTCATGTCACAGTCACCCCACATGTATCTCAGTCACGTTGTGTCAGTCTCTCTGTCTGTCTGTCTGTCTCTCTTTCCTTGTTGGACAAACAGATTCATTCACAATCAGAGGGAGAAGCTCTGCCCACCAGCCCCCTCGTCTCCAGGTTTCCACAGGCCTTTGCTGCCCCAGGAGGGCCGCACACAGGCCTGAGCTGGTTGTAGCTCTAAGCCCCGTGGCTCAGAGAGAAGCTGCATGTCCATGTCTGTTAGTTCTTCACAAGCACACGCAGTCCTGGGCACTTCATCTCCATAGAACCTGTTCAAGAAAACCTGGTTTCCAGGATGGGCCTGTGGCTGGTGACTTCCAAAGTATAAACTGATGGTCATATGTGGTAAAAGAACTTTCTGTTCCGTTGGTGTCCAGCTTCTTACTCTGCGTATTAAGCTTTATGTCTTAAATCATGGAAATTTGCAGTATAACAACTCTGTGTGTGTGTATGTGTGTATGTATCTAAAAATTAAATGCATCAACTAAATGTTTCCAAATATTTTCCCCTGTGAACTCTGTGTTACTGTCATTTAGAAAACTAGGCATGGGCCCTGATGTGTCAGTATCTAGAGTCCCTCACGTGACATGTGTGTCTCTTGCAGATTGGCGGAAGGAGCAGTTCCGGGCCTGTGAGTGACTCTGTTCTCTCTGGGGCTGCTCAGCTTCTGACCTTTCCTTCTATTCTCTGTGTGGGCACAGATTCTGCACGCTCCGTGGGGGTGGGGTGGATGCAGCTGTGTTGTCACACAGCTGGGCTGAGGGGTGACTGGTCATGGGTGCTGAAAGGGGCTGTTTAGTCCTTGGGGTCCAGGTGGGTCCCCAGGAGTCCTGTGACATATCTGACCCCCAGTAATCTTGTGGCTCCTTCTCTTGCTTGGGGACTGTGGGCTGGGGTCACCAGGCTCTCATTTCAGGGAACATATCCCCCTCCTCATAAAGCTGAGTATCTGGGGTGAGGAGGTGTGTGTCCTTGTTATGTCAGGCTGGTGTATGGGTTCTCTCTCTGCAGGGCCTGTCACTCTGGATCCAGGTTCTTGTTATGGTGGAATTGTCCTCTCTCAGGATAGGAAGAGTCTGAAGAGTTCCAAGGATGGAAATAAAGAAGGATACAGTGCTTGTGGTCTTGAGGGCATCACATCAGGGCGATGTTACTGGGAGGTAGAGGTCAGGAATGTACACAACACTGAGTGTGCACTGGGGGTCTGTAGGGAAGATGAAAAAACTACATTTAGTATTCCATCCCCACTGAAAGGGATATGGATTATTGGCTGGTACAATAACATTTTCTTAGCCTTTGCTGATACTCCGCTACCCCTTAGGCAGGTTCCCCACAGGGTGGGGGTTTTCCTGGACTATGATCACGGGGACATCTCCTTCTATGACATGACTGATGGCTCCCACATCTTCTCCTTCCCTCCTGAGTCCTTCTCTGGGACCCTCTTTCCATATTTTGTCTGTTATTTTGGAGACGTGTCCATGACCCTCTGCTCCCTGGAGGTTGGGGCCCAGAAGCCCTCTGTGCCCATGAACAATCCTCTTTCTCTGGAGGAGTCTGTGTGTTCCCCAGGGGAGGGGATCCCCTCAGGCTCTGGTGTGGATGGGGCTCCCCCAGGGTCTGAAGCCCCCCTCCTCCCCTGTACCTCTGAGACCATGTCACCATAGGGCCCCTCCCTGCCCAGCCCTGCCCTGGGCTCTTCTTGGGGCTGCAGGTTCCCTGTGGACAAACCTGTGAGTGAGTCCCGGATGCTGGAGTCTTGTCCTCCTTATCTGGGTGCAGTTTCCTGAGCCGTGGCTGAGAGAAGAGTCAGGTCAGGCCTTGTGCTGAGACATAACTTTGAACCCATTTAGGGTAGAACTAATTTTTCCATGGGAAAAATTTATTTGGTAAAGAAAATATTTACTAGGGATTTTATGCCATTAGGACAAGAAAGGGGATGAGCTGAATGATTCTCCTAAATTAATTGGAGTTTACTTTATCCAACTGGACTTTGTGTGGAGGAACCTAGAGCCTGATGGAGGGTCCCCAGATATTTTAGGGGTCTGGACTATCTGACCAGAAACTTCTGCCTCCAAAATATTTGGGGAAATGGCAGACGACAGACTTTTAGAGGAGCCTAATATTCTGTTATCTGCTTCCTACTCTGGAATGGATGAAATACACTTAATCTTATCAAACCTGATGAGTTTCTATGACCAGTGATAAACTTGTGGTGTGTTAATGTGGTGACCTCAGGAGAAGGATCTGGTTCCTCTTTTGTGTCAAACCATTTGGAAAGGAGAAAACAGCTCCCTGAATTAAGATGAGAATGAAAAAGAGACTTTCAGACTCAGGGTGACTTGGGGAACTGAAACTTGAGTTCTATGGACCCCTGTGCTGACTTGGTCACGGGAACCACAGCTGCCAGAGGGAGCAGGATCCTGAGCCCCAGACCTGCAGGGAGGAAGGTGTGAACCCTCCCCGAGGGGACACTGACTGGTTCTGTTGGGAGGAGAAGACAGAGAAGGAGGAGTGGGGGAGTCAGATGTCATAATCATGTGTGACTATAAAGAGATTTTAATAGTTTTAACAATTTCTCTTCTGTGTATTAATTTGTATTTATTACCCATTGTCTTCATTTGTCATCTTCCCTTGTGCTTTTATACAAGTTGATGCAGTTTATGTTTATAACATAGTTTTGGGTAACAGAATAGATAAAGGGGTGCACTCCAGACCCTCTAACTCCAAAAACAACATCAAGTAGAAGCCCTGGTCCAGGCCCAGTTTTCTCACTGGAACAATTCCAGTCCTTCCAGCCATCTGCCAATGTCCTAGAAGAGTCAGAGTAATCTCAGGTTGCCTAAAGCCAAAGCATCGGAACTGACACTGAATGTCAGGGTAAGATTTTAGAAGAGCATAGATAAAAGGAAGTCATAGGTGAGCCAGCCAATGTGGAAAAGGAGAGTATACTGCCTGGCTTTTGTGTTAAAAAAACATCAGTCTGTTCCCCACTATCAGTTTTTCCTGGGCTCCTGCAGGGAAACCATGATAGGAGCTGCTTCTTAGACATAGGTTTGTAGCTACAGGTCGACCACTCAGTTAATATTTTCCCCAAGGGGCTTTCAGATGAAACAAATATGGCGCCTCTCATAAGTTTAACTAAATCCCTGGCTTCCAAAAAAAACAAGTGGGAAACTCCAAATACCAGATACCAAATAGAAATCAAGTAAAAAATACCAAATATTTCCCAATTCCCACTCAACCAGGCCTAACACACTAAAGAGAGCTCAAAATTGAGGGAGACTGATAGACTCCCTCCCAAACTGAAGAGAACCGAACTCCCTCTGTGAGGGCCAAGAGGGCGACCCCTGGTCACATGCTGCTTATATTTCCAAAAAGAGCCCCTGGCTGCTTAACTCCGCCCTCAGGTCCTCGCTACCCTCCCTTTGGGGGTCATGGGATTGTAGTTCCCAGTGTCTTGATGGAGTGGGGGTGGAGTCCACAAAGCCTATAAGGAGTTTGCGCAGGACATCCTTTCCCCCTAACAAGTGCAGCATGGTGGATTCAGGGGCTGATGCTCAGGTCAGAGGGGCCTCATCTCCTGACCTCCCTATTGCTCTCTCTCCTTCCTCCATTTTCCACCTCTGATGGTCATTTGGCCTTTCCCACGTACCTGGAGGGATGCTGCCATGTCCCGTGGTGCTTGGATCAGAGGTGACGTTTCATGTTCTCAGTGGACTGAGGGGTTTTCTGAGAGGACGAGGCTGAGGGGCTGATGGGCAACAGCAGCATCTCCTCTGCAGATGAGCTCAGCTGAGGCTGGTGAGGCCCCTCTCTGCTGGACATGCAGCAGGACTCACAGGGGCTTCCTTTGGGGTCCCACGTGGTTCCCCAGATGACACAAGTCAGGGCCTTGGGGGACAACAGGCCCCCAACACTAACAAGCAGGTGTGGGGTGCACAAGGGAGGTCAGGAGGTTGGAGGAGGCCCCTTTGAGCAGGTTACTTCAGGGGAGACCTGAAAGGTGAGGGTTTGGGGAGCAGAGGCAGCAGGAGCATCAGGGACTGTGAGGAGGCCTGAGGCTGGGAGAGCCCCCTGAATTGAAGGAGTCACCTGAGTCAGTGGGGGCCCTGGGAGAGCAATGGGAGGGGGCCAGAGAAGGGGAGCCATGGACACCCCTCCTTTAAGCAGAGGGATCCCTTGAAAGAGTGAGGCAGGGAGCTGACATGAGCTGACTGGAGAGGGTCACGACCTTGGAAAGAAATGAACTGGATGAAGTGAGGCTGGAGGTGGGGCGGAGAGACCCTCGAGAAGATCAACGCTTGGCCTGGGGAAAATGAGGGTGGGTGGGATGGGTGTTGGAGGTGGACATGAATTGAGAAATATCTTGATCTTTTCAGTATATTGGAAGTAGGCTGGGTGGGGAGTGGACTGTGAAGATGACCCTGGAGTCTCTGGCAGAGATAACTGGGGAGACACAGGTGCCCTTCCCTGAGAAGGGGAAACCACAGGAAGTGAGGGGGGAGGGAGGCCCAGGCTCCCTGGTTTCCTTGGAGACATAGAATCAGGCCTTCCTGGTGACCTGTGTCCTGGAGGGACAGGGTCTGGTCACTGTGACCAGGTCTCAGGTGACATTAACATCTGAACAAGCCACAGGCCCCGTCCATGCCGTGTGGGCAGGAGCAGGTCCTGGCAGCTCCTGTGCCCAGAGCTGACTCCTGATGTCCAGAGTGGGGGGTTCCAGGGTCAGTTGCAGTGAGGGAAAGAAAAACAGCCCCCCTGGGGGGTTCTCATAGGCTCTGCCATGTAGGGTGACAGCTGACCTGGAGTCACTGGGGTGGTCACCATTGGACACATTGGGACTCAGTGTCAGTTGTAACTGTGCCCCACACTCACCCCTAGTTCTGAGTCCGGAAGCTGTTGTGCCCAACGTCGACCAGTGCAGTCCCCAAGGACACACAGACAGCCACTGTAAGATCATAAAGGAGTTTATTACGGGCTCAAGTCTGGGCTCGTGACACGCACTGATGTAACAGCGGAGGTCAGGAGCCCTGAACAAAGGGAACAGGGATCTTATATAGGGTTAAAAGCAGATCTCTAAAAATTAAATCATGTTGGCAAACATTCATTGGATACACAGGTGTATTTCCTAATGAGACACAGGGCAAGCTAGGAATTAGGCAATTTTAGGGACAGTGCAGGAGGGGACCTCTGAAGTATTTAGGGAGGCTTCAGAGATAAGGACAACCAAGGGAATGTAACCAATTCCACTAGGAAAAACAAATATCTCAGGACGAAGGACAACATTGTTAACGCTGGTCCTGGTTTCCTTCAGGTGGTAAAGGGAGGCAGAGATTGGAGAAATGGAGAGTGGTTTAATTTATGGACAACTTAGAAGGGCAGCTGTTTAACTTCAATGCAGGGATGCCCATCCAGAGGACTGGGCCATAAAGATAAAGATGTAACAAATGGGGAAAGAGAAAGCTGTTAGATAAGGAATGTGAAGATCCCCCACTCAGTAGCAAATTAAATGAGACAGCCAAGAACTAACCAATCACAAAGAAACTGGTGGAGCTTTAGAATAATTAGGGAAAGAAGGTATATATTCCCTGAGACACGACTCCACTTTGGCTTCCTTGCCCCTCCCAGGCCTGGTTTCCTGGCCTGGGAGTCCCACTTTATTTCTGTTCTTTTTCTCTCAATAAACTTTTTCTTTGGCTAAAAAAACCTGCCTCTTCTCGCTTGCTTGCCTGAGCGTCTGCAAAGTTCCTGCTGCGGCTTCGTGAGACACCAACCCGTGGGGGTCTAGTGGCTGGGGCTCAGCGCTGCCCCTGCAGCCTGGGATCTGTTCCTGGCTGAGAGACTAGGCCTGACAATTCTGGTATCACCATGAAAGGATGAGACAGGGAGATGACATGAGCTGACTGGAGAGAGTCATGGTCTTAGAAGGAAATGGACTGGGGGAGGTGAGGCTGGAAGTGGGATGGGGTGACCCCTGGGCCAGGTGGGAAATGAGGGTGATGTGGAATAGGTGCTGGTCATGGATGTGGACAGAACATTTGGGTGCATTGGAAGTAGACAGTGAGGAGAGTGGACTGTGATGATGACCCTGGAGTCTCTGCAGAGATAACTGGGGAGACACAGTGGCCCTTCACTGAGAAGGGGAAACCACAGAAAGGCAAGGGGAGGAGGCCCAGGCCCCACGGTTTCTTTGGAGACATAGAATCGGGCCTTCCTGGTGACCCGTGTCATGGAGGGACAGGGTCTGGTCACTGTGACCAGGTCTCGGGTAACATTAACATCTGAACAAGCCACAGGCCCTGTCCACGCAGTGTGGGCAGGACCAGGTCCTGGCAGCTTCTGGTGCCCAGCGCTGACTCCTGGTGTCCTGGATGTGGGGCTCCTGGGTCAGCCACAGTTAGGAAAAGAGAAACAGCCTCCCTGGGGGCTCCTCACAGGCCCTGCCATGTGGGGTGACAGCTGACATGGGGTCACTGGGGTGGTCACTGTTGTGCAGAGCCCTGCTCGGGCCTCAGTCAGTGTTGACTGGGTCCCACACTCACCCCTAGTTCTAGGTCTGGGAGCCAAGTAGCCTGGAACACAGTGGGTGCTCAACAGTGGGTGCTGGGTGGGCACCTTCCCTGTGCCTGCAGGGGTGTCAGGTGCCTGCCCCTCCCCTCTGCTGGCTCCTCTGTTCCTGCTGTTTCCCTCCTGATAACCGGGGTGCACTCTCAAGAGGGCAGGGTGGAGGCTGCTGGGATTGCATTGCAGCTTTCACTTGCAGACAGTGGAAGGAGCCAGGGAAGGGTGATTTGTATTTCTGGGAGAAATTTGTGAAGACCCGCGAGCTGGCCTCTGTAGACACCCCTCAACATGTGCCAGATTCGGCTTGTGGACCCCCCCGGAACCATCTTCTCTGAGCCGTGAGACTCCCTTGGCACCCAGCATGGCTCCTGAGCTGCTAACAGCAGGTGCAAACTCTGTAGGAAGATTTGGGATCTGCGGGAAACACTGAAACTTTCAAGCTTGAAGGGACACCCTAGAAGCCCCACCATTTCAAAGCAGGTATGTCAGTTTTGAAGACATGTTTCTTTGAAGAAGGAAGTGGGGAGCAGCTGACTGTAAGGAGCCGCTGAGAATGTGGTGAGGCTGAGTGGGATGGGAAGTGGTGCAGGAAATGGTGCAGCTCTAAGAGGACCCAGCACAACCACATTGAAGCTTGTGCTTCACTTGTTTTAATATTGTGTCTGTGACATCCTGGGGCAGGACCCTGTTTGAGAATTTTAGGTAGTGACTCTTCAAATATAATTTACTGGGAGCCATGCTCCTCATGTTTTCTGACAAAGGTCCGGGCATGGGGCAGATTCCGGAAAAGTCAGGAATCTCGTTAGCTGACTCCTGCTAGATTCTCCTCATTTGTTTATGGCTAGTTTCTACCATTGTTAAAATACTCATTTAAAAGTAAAACTACAAATGCTTTTTGATCAATTACTGAATAACCAATTTGATGGCAAATGGCACTGTGTGATACAAATGTTATATTTTTTTTTATAAAATTAGTAGTTCTCTGTCAAAAGGCAGTAATTCAACATTGGGCCTTATATTAACAAGTGAAAAAACTTCTGGGAACAAAAGGCTGTAAACATCCCTTGGCCAAGTCTTTAACATGGAGAGGTGGGCTTTTGAGGCAAGGGCTAATTGGAGAAGGAAATTCTCTTACTTTAAAGTTAAAGATAGCAGTTGGGTGGCAGACACCACCTATGCTCCAAGTGTAAGAAAATTCCTGATAAGCCAGGAGGCACCATAGCCTGGCTCCTGCTAAATTCTTCCTGTTTGTTTAGGGCTGACTCCCCTGGATGTGACAATTGGTATGGTAGCTGTTAGAGTATGCATTCAAGAATAAGTCAACAGCAATTTTGTGACTGGTTAAGCTAATAACCATGGCAGCACAAATAGTGCACTTGGAAATAGTCAATGTTACAACTACTGATATGTCACGGATTAACCATTCCGGGAACCAAAAGCTATAACCAACTCCAGCCCTGCCTCTGATGAAATATTTGTAGTTCCTTAAAACAACAATCAGCAATCTTACAGAGAAAGGAATTTTCCCTTGATCTTAAAGTTAGATACTTTAAGATACTTTAAGAAACTAGGCTGACTAGATAAGTAGAGGAGTAATAGGTAGAAAACTCTCTGTTTAGATTAGGAGAATTCCTAATTGAGAGCTGATTGAGAGCTGGGGCCTAGGGAAGAGTCAGTGCTGCTTGCCTGGCAGTAACACCCTCCAGGCCCTTGGTTCCTAAATATCGAATCAATATTAAAACAATATACTATACATGATGATTTCTATATTAAAGCCTTCTGTTTTTTGCTTTAATCATTTGGCTATATGTTAGTCTAAACTTTGTAGGTTAGTTAGAAAAAATCCCTTTGTCTCCCTTCCCCCAGGTAACTTCCTGCCCTTTGTTTCCCCTAGCCCTTAGTTAATCCTTCACTATGGCAAACATAGAAATGTTAGTTGCAGTCACATAGGCTTTTTGCTAGTAATAAAATGACTGTTTGGTTGTTTAAGATAAATGACTATTCTAAGAACACTTTTGCTTAGCAACTGTATCTTCTTTAAGACAAAGAATAATAAATGTCAGGACCTCTGCAGGTGGGCAAATAGACCCTTGACTGTTCTTGAGAAAGATGTGATGATTGTTATCTTCCTGCCTTAATGCATATGCTTATGCACTCACAGTGCTTGAAATGTATAAATAAAGGACTGCTGAGACCCTTAGCAGGATGATGTCAGCACCCTGACCAATTGTTTGTATCTCCTCATTTCCCCTCCCCCTCATTCTCTACAATTGTGCAGACACTGTCCCATCCTTCAGGAACCTGACACCCAGGCTGCTGTGGCTGGCTCGCAGCAATAATTCATGTAATTCTCATTCTGTTGAAGAAATAAATTCTAGCCTTTTACACAGGCAGGGGAAGAATAATAAGTACTTTAGGAATGGTGAGGCCAGGAAAGTTTTATTACTCCTGCATGAGGTCTCAGACCTCATAAGTCCCATGAGGTCTGAGCACTGGTCCAGAGACAAAGAGTTTCTTTTACACACAACCATTTTACATTGATAATGTTGGTTAGTTCACACACACATTCTTGACACAGGAAAAGGGGAAGGACATAGTTCTTCCAGGATGGCCTGGGAGATCAATCAGCCTGGCAGGCTGCCAGACCTTGTTATTGCTTATTAAGACCTTAATATGCTTATTAAGGAGCAAACTTTTATTTACTTTACATTTCCAGGTCTATGACTCTTTAACAGAAAGATTTCTTTTTCTTAGCTGTTCCCTTTCATTTCCAACCTTGGTTGGGAGATGCTGATACTATTCCCATTTTTCTGTGGGGAAAGTGCAGCAAGAAGGTTAAGAGACTTGAAGATGATGGTCACACAGAGAGAGGGTGAGTCTAGAAATGACCTCAGAGTCAGCCCCAGAATCTGCCCTCCCAGAACCATCACTTGCCTCTCCCCAACCCCCGCCAGTGTGTGGTTTGAGGGTGTTTTCTCTGACCAGGACTCATTTCCCTTCTCTGCTGCTCTGAGTCACTGGGTCCCTCACCATGAGGCAGAAATCACCACAAAGTTAGAAAGGACCAGGATGAGCCCTCAGTAGGGATCTGACCCGGCTCCTGCTGGAAGCCATACTACTCATGTTGTCTGACAACGGTCCAGGCATGGTGCAGATTTCTGAAAAGTCAGAAATCTCTTTAGTTGATGCCGGGGACCAGCCTCCGGCAAAACGTCGTGTCAGGGGTTCCTGAAAGGTTGAGATGGCCTCGGTGACTTGTAAGGGGCTGAAACTTAAGGGCTGAAGGGAAGGGGATGAGGTAGAATGAGGAGACACTGACACTTGGTGA